GGAGGGGGAGAGTCGGGAGGTGAGGCTGGGGAGAGCCGGTGCCTCCGGGCTCTTGGGCTTGGACAGTTGTAGGCAATTAGTACTTGCTTTTGCTGGAGCGAGTGGCAGCAAGTGGGGAGTGAACACAGGAGGACTAGTTCCATTTTGAGCTGGACGTCATTTACAGCGTTCAGGCAGGATTGAGCAAGCTCAGGAAAGAGGTCTGAACTTAACAGGGATTGATAAATTGACAGGCTGCTGGTTATAACAGTTGGTATTCAGATCAGGTGTATAGAGTTAGACATCTAAACCTGTTTTTTGTTTGTTGGTTGGTTTTGAGGGCTAATTAGGTTGACGATTGATTGATTGGAGGTACTGGGGATTGAACGCAGGACCTCATGCATGCTAAGCACTCACTCTGCCACTGAGCTATACCCTCCCCGCTAGGCATCTAAATCGTCTGGAGCTTGGTTATTGGGGAATTTGTGTCGTGTGCGCCGAATTCCTCTATTTTGACTAATATTTCTTTCCTCCCTTTATTCCTGTAGGGATCTTACCTCTTAGCGGCATCAAATGACTTTGCAAGCCGAATCTGGACTGTGGACGACTATCGGTTACGGGTAAGACCTAGTTATGAAAGTTGGCATAATCTCCAAACTTCATGCAGTGGATTATCGGTCACAGAGTGTAGAAAACGGCAGGTTGATTAATTAGGACACTTGTGCGTTGTCCTGAAAATCATGTTGGAGTCCCCTTGCCTTTCCTTTCCTCCTTAGGAAAATGTATGTTTCCACTTTACATTCTTCCTTTGTCCAAGATTCAGTGGCAAAATATTTGCAAAAGGAAACCATCATGTTTCCATGAAAGACTTGGGATACTCCTGTTCAGAAGAACTAAATATTTTTGGTAGGCATCAATTTTAGCTTAACTTTGGCTATTTTAGCACTAGCTGCCTCACAGAGTAGAGCTGGAAAGGAGGGTCTAGAAGTCCAATAAAGATAAAACAGCTCTGAAGCAAAGCCCAGACGTGGGTGTGTGGGACAGGGAGAACGCTGGGGTGGGACATGGACGGGATCTGCATCTCAACCCAAACTTGCCAAGAAGTCTCTTGGACATCAAGACAAGGACAGAAATTTGATGGTTCTGTCACTTGTTCTAACAGAAGGCATACCTTAATTTGGAGACACGTTTTTCTCTTTAAGATTGAAGCAACCTTCACATGTGCTCATTGAGTGAAGGCTACTGAAAGAGTTGGTGGAGGATTTGCTTGACATTGGTAGGCATTTTACACCCCCCAAAAAAGCTTGACACAACCGTGTGTGTCAACCCACAGGAAAAAGAGGGGGGATGGCATTCTGTTGATTCTTATTTTGTGGTTGGGTTTATTCCTTTGATAACTAAGTTTAAAAAGCTAAAGCTCCTTAGAAACAATGATCAGTACATATATGTAAACAAAAAAATGTGTAGTATATTGTATATATATTTACATATAATATATATGTGCAGTCAAACTGTAGTAATTCTATCTAATAAGACTGAAAAGAAAAAACAAGAGGGCATGATATTAAGATGGTCTTCCTTAAAAGATCAATCTACAGAGAGGTGGGGAGCTGCAAGAGATTGGTCCATTAGGTGGCTTCTGATGGTCTGATTTGATGATGCAGCTGGAAGAGAAGAATGGTTGGAAACACACAGTTCACTCAGCACTTAGGCTTTCCATCTTCTTGAAGGAGCTGTATGGAAAATTACCAGTGTCAGATGCTAGCTAATGCCTAAGGGTGGTAATTCCTTTTTCTTAGTGGGGAGAGGATCCAGGGCAGCACGTGCAAAGAAAGCCTGAGATGCGAAAATGACAAGAGATTGTGTTCTCCTGTGAAATCTGAAGGGCCTGCCTTGGGCTCTTGTTGGAATGAAGGAGCAGGGAGGTGGACAGCTGGATGCCTGCAGGCAGGGCTGGGCTCTTCTCGGGCAGCAGCTCACATCTGTTCAAACACTTGAACAAGTTTTCAGTTAAAGCCCTACGGCCCCGTTCTCCTGGCAGAGTTAGGGTCCATCCGGTGGCATGCCATCTCTGTTTAACCATCATTTGCGTAGTGGAAGTTTAAGACAGGGTTGAATACTTCTGCAGTCGTTAATTTGTCTAAAGGAAAGGGGACTTTACCCGAGTGTCTTCTGTGTGTTTGACCCAGTAGTGAGGTAGGTTAGGTACATTACTGCTTGTAATCCTCCAGAGGATCCACGTGAGGTAGGTGGATGAGGAAACAGGCTCAGATTAAGCCCACAGAACTGCCTAAGGTCACACAGTTAACAAATAAAAAGATGAGAATTTGGTTGGAGGCCTGTATACTTTCCTGTGTTCGAATGGCGATTGGCCTGGATTATTCTAGATTGGATACAACAGAACTGTCTAATTAGTAAGGAGGAACATACAGCCTTCCTTACATTTTAGATTCTTAGAGGAGAAAAGCAAGTAGCTGAGGAGTCAGCTAGTCGTGCAGGGTGATAGGTTTAATTGGTAGAAGAGTTCTCTGCAGCTGGGCATCAGCTCTGGGGTCTGAAATAACGGGAAAGGGACCTGGAGGTAGAACTGAATGATGGAGGTCATAACATTGGAAACTTTTCTCAAGTGCACTAGTTTTACAAAGGTGGGCCGAGTCTCACTGGAGAGGGTTCTGGGCACCAAGCTCAAGCTGTGGATGCTGATGAGCTGGGGGCTGGTGCCAGGGCTGTAGCCTCCTTTGCAGACCAGCTGGCTTGGAGGGCCTCTGGTCTGCTCACAGATAGTGTCCTGTCACTCGGTAAAGGTATGAAGGAGACCAGGAGGCCTTTTAAACAGGTTTCTCATATCCACAGAAGCCACATGAAACCCTCACCTGAGTCCAGGAAGTAAGTAGGCTCTCTGTCTAGGAGGCTCTGGCTTCTACCTAGACCCTGGTTTACAGAGGATATTGGAGGACATGAATGGACATCCGTGTTCTGAAACTCAAGATCCAAGCCTGGTCAGTGTCTGCTTAGCGTGTATGGTAAGGGGGTGGTGTTGGAAGAGATCAGAATGCAGGATCAGCTGGTGCTGGCTTTGAAATCCTTTTAGTAAAGATATCCTTGAAACAGCCTGATGTTGAAGTTCCAGAGGACTCCTTTCAATACAGGGTGTTTTCAGCTCCCTTAAAAAGCTGAACGATCAGTGCAAAACTGCCTGGCTGCTCTCTAAGCTGCGACTTGAGGAACTGGGTTGAAGAACCCACCCTGCTCGCTTCTCTAACAGCGATGTGGAGAAGTGGCCACAGTGAGGACTGGCTTTCAGATGAGGGTGTGTATTTCAGAAACCTCCTCAAGTTCTGTGTTTTTCTGAGATCAGTTGTCTTTGGTTGGTGCTAGTGGTAGCGGCTGCGTGGTGGGCGACACTGGGGAGCCCATGCAAAGCCCAAGAGGCGAGAGCTCTCAGCCTCCCTGACGGCAGCTCAGGCTGCTGTGACATCTGACTCTGTGCCCCACCTCCTGTGAGTCTCTTTTTAAAATTAGAGGAAGATGGAAACCTTAAAGTGGTGTTTGATACTAAATATTAAGAATAAATATTAAAAGCAATGAATGGATAAAAGAATTTTAAGTAAATTTGATCCACTTAAAATAATTTAAAAATCTATTTTTAATGATAAAAATGATTGCATGCAGGAGGCTAACTTCCGTACCATTGAGAGCATGGAGACGGAGCTGGTCAGCCCAGGCAGGTCCAGCCAGGTCTCCACCAAGAACAGGGTAAACAGAAGTCCAAACTCTTTAAAGGCAAACAAACACATATGAAGAGCCAGGAAATAAAAACATCCCTTTCTTTTATTCCACTAGCCCAGCAGTTTCATTCTGGGAAACAGGGAAAGCTGTATGCTCATAGATGTTCACTGCAGCTTCACTTGTGATCATGAAACTTAAAGTGATCTGGGTGTCTGCTGGACAAGGCAATTTCAATTAAATTGTAACCTCATTGCTGGGAGATTGTTTAGCTATTCTATAGTAATTATGAAAACTCTTTAAGGATGGGGCGGGGTATAGAAAGAGGGAGAATGAATGCTGTCGATCACGTGCCTTGTGCAGGGGGCACCCTACACAACCAGCGTGAGGAAGAGATTAGTCTTCCTTAGATGTTAGAGACCCACGGTGTTCAAGCCAAACCACGGGACCCTAAAACATGTATTTTCAGCTGTCGCATGAAAATCTGCTTGTGCTATAAAGTTAAAAGTGCAGTGGATAAATTTGCAGGACATTTTCACATGAACTGTATGAATATACTAATGTGCATGTCAAGTATGCAGAGTGAGTGCATTCTCATAGCCCATTTGTGAGCGGTGTCTTTTCCTCCCTGTGTTTGTGAAATGTGATTTTACTTGTATACTAGGAAGACAGCCAGTGCGTGTACACAAAATTCGGTTTTTTGATGAAATAAGGGTTTTGGGTTTTTTTATTTTCCCCCACTAAGAACTTTGATTTACATAGCATGAGAAATATCTACACAAGTTTTTGGTCTCTCCCCAAGGTTTGCACAGACTGGGTGAGTTATACTGAGCACTATTCCTGTACTGTATTCAATGCCAGCTTCGTTGCTGGGATTTTCTTAGTCTTTCCGGAAGGATCAGTGGGAGGTTTTCACACAGCTACAGCAAAGCCGCCACCTGGCTGGCAGCAATTGTAAAATGCTGTTCCAGTTTCAGAGAGGTTTAAATGTGAGAGAAAGGAGTCTTGGAATCCACGCGGACTTCTTCTGAAGGAGGAAGTACGTGTGGCCGAGTTTTCTGTTCCTGTACTCACGTGGAGTTGTTTCACTGAGCACAGAGGAAAGATCGGTTTCTAAAATGTTAACACTAAGCTGAGATCTCTGCTTTGGGAGACAAGGTTGGAACCCAGTAAGTTAGCAATTGTAGTTAAATACATTAGGGTCTTTCTTCATTTTCATTAGAAAGAAAATGTTAGTGAATACCTTCTGAGACTGAGGTTTTCACACGTAAAGATATCAAACCGTATTGAAAAAGTGATTATGAAAAGGGCTGGCTCCCCAGGTCCCTTCCCGGCATCCTCACCATCCCCAGCCACCCCTGTCCCACTGGGCTTCAGGACAGAGGGCAGCTGACACTCGGTGATGACCCGCTTCTGCGTTCCTTGGCAGCCCGGGGAAGATGCCATGGTTGGCATCCCACAGCTAGTCACAAAAAGATTTGATTGTTGGGAACGCGGTATCTGTGGTTATAATCTGACATTTCAAGCTGAGAGTTCTGATTGAAAACCCCCGGGAGTTTTAACTGTTTATTTAAAGAGTCCTGCTGTTTCCTTTTATGAATTGTGCCTGCAGCAAACCTCTGTTCTGACTTGAAGTAGGAAGCTGACTTTCAGAGGCAGTGGTAAAATCCAGGATTTTAAAATTTTGTAATTGAATACATAATTCAGACTTAAAAAAATGGTTGAGTACCTACAGATATCTGTATTAGAGCTTATTTCAAGAAGGCCCTCTGACTGCCCCTCCCCGCTTCTTAGGCTGTTACTGTGCTGAATGATTTTATTATAGCTTGATATGTCCTGTCATCCGACACTTAAATTTACCTGTATCCTTTATAAATAGTCTCCATTTGAGTAACATTTGTTACCACGGCAATTTCTGTAATAGCAAAGAGAGCATATGTAATTAATAGTTTAAAATGTGAATAGCTTCAGTAAACAGTGCAGATTCAGGAAATTTCTACATGTATTTGTTAAACACTTGGGAGAAGGCAAACATGTTCCTTTTTTATAGCGTCAAAGATTAATGTGGCAACATAAATCTAATAATATTAAGTAGATATCATGAGTATGTAAGTTGTTCTTTTCCGTTCTATTGACTAATAGCACTTAATACAGACATCCTATTTATTTATGTTCTGTGCACTTTTCTTTTAAGTAAAACTTTTACCGAGTACTTTATTTTTTTCAATTGGAGCATAATTGATCTGCAACACTGTGTTAGTTCCAGGTGCACAACATAGTTATTCGGCATTTCTGTACGTTACCAAATGATCACCACGGTAAATCCAGTTACCACCTGTCACCATGCAGTTGCTGCAGTATTACTGACTTTATCCCCCATGCTACATGTTTCATCCCTCGGAGTTCTTGTACCTGTTAATCTCTCTCATCTCACCTATTTCACTCATATCCCCACCCCATCTCCATAAGCACTTGAGTTTTCTGAGTTGTTCAGTTGTTTTGTTCTTTAGATTCCACCTGTAAGCAAAATCGTGTGGTATTTGTCTTTCTCTGTCTGACTTATTTCACTTAGCATAACACTCTATAGGTTCATCTGTGCTGTCACAAATGGCAAGATTTCATTCTTTTTTTAGGAACATAACATCCTCACCAACACTTGTTTTTTGTTGTCTTTTTGATAATAGCCATTGTGATGAGTGTGCAGTGATATTCTCATTGTGGTTTTGATTTGCATTTCCCTGATGGTTAATGATGTTGAGCACTTTCATGTGTCTGTTGGCCATCTGTGTGTTCTCTTTGGAGAAATGTCTAATCAGGTCCTCTGTCCTGCCCCTCCCTTTTTTGAGGATGTGGTCATGTGAAGTTGGTACTAGTGGTGTTGGATTTTTTTTATTACTTTTTTTTTTTTTTTTTTTAGTATTATTTTCGGTGGGAGATTTATCCTCTTCTTCTTGGTCCCTTATCCCTGGGCAACAGCCAAAGATAGGCTTTCTGGGTGCTTCCCTGAGCTGCGCATCTTTTGTCTCTGAGCGTTCCTGAGCTGGTCTCAGGGTGTCTGAGCAGCTAGCCGCCCTGGCAGTTTGCCACTGACTCTCCCAGCATGGCTCCCCCGAGGCTTACTCTGGCCGTGTTCTCTCTCCTAGCACACACTCACAGGACACAGTGGCAAAGTGCTGTCTGCCAAGTTCCTGCTGGACAATGCGCGTATTGTTTCTGGAAGTCATGACCGGACCCTCAAACTCTGGGATCTACGCAGCAAAGTCTGTGAGGAAATTCAGTCTCTCTGTCTCTATGTACGAGTGGATGTTAACCGCAGAGGTGTTTGTTTCCGCATTGAAAGCCTGCATTTAGTGTGATGCAGTTTGAATTTCAAGTCCAGTTTCATATTGAGTGGCGCCAGTGTAGTGAATGTTTTCCATGTTTGAGGCTTCATTGGAATAAATAGTTCTGATCGCTTAGAGAGGACAGCGATGTTGTGTGCACAGCCACAGAGGGGCCTCTGCTTGACACTCGTGTTTGGTTTTCTTTCAGGCATAAAGACGGTATTTGCGGGATCCAGCTGCAATGATATTGTCTGCACGGAGCAGTGTGTAATGAGTGGACATTTTGACAAGAAAATTCGCTTCTGGGACATCCGGTATAACACCCAAGAGCCTGGTGGGGAGGCAGAGGAGAGGGTCTGTTCATGGTAGAATTGTGATGGTGTTTTGAGTGTGGGTTGTGTTTTTAAAATCCCTGAAAATGGCAGAAGTGAGCTCCGGTCCACATCATCTTAGCAGTCTGATGTTCTCTACTAGCTGCTAGGTACAGATGACCAGCTAGGTTATTGGGTAGTTTCCAGTGTAATCAGAAAGAGAGACACAAGTCTGCAGGGGGTGCTGACACAGGGCCAGGCACCCTTGTCCAGGGATGTTAGAGGCCATCTCTCAAGATGAGTCCTGAGAAGTGAGTAGGCTTCACGTTGCAGAAGAGCCACTGAGAGACATTCCAAAACAGGACAGAGCAGCCAGGTAGGGCAAGTCAGGCTAGGGCAGCTGAGACTTACAGGGCGGGTTGAATCAGATTGCCATGGGCTTTGGACGCCATTTGTGAGTGACTTGATCTTACAAGCCATTGGGTGTTGAGCAAAGGATTGCTTCGTGAGAGTCTGGTAGGTTACGTTGGTGGCAGCTTTATAGGGTTTGTTGGGGGGCAGGGAAATCAGCAAAGAGTCAGTGAGGATCTGAACTCAAGGCGGCAGAGGGAGATGCGGGGGGGAGGATCGATTTGAGAGAATTTGGACGGGGCTTGTTACAAGTTGAATGTGGCAGGTGAGGAAAGGGGAAGTAAAGCAAGGTGGAGAATAAGTGATAGACTTAGGAAGAGGGTGCCGTGACCATGTTCAGAAAGGGATAGTTGTTTGAGGTTTCTAATAGACATTTGGAAAAACAGAATTTTTGAGAGGTTGTATTGGAGGAAAAATGAGAACTCCTCACATGGAAGACTGAAGGCGTGAGAGTGGGTTAATCAGAGCCAGCATGTGAAGCAACAGGAGGGCAGCTTTTAGGGAGCTTCTGAGGAGGAGCGGCCAGAAACGGGAAGAAAGCTGGAGTCCTGCTGGTGGGCCAAGGCTGGGGTGGGTACAGGGGGTAGGGGTCCAGTTAGGATGAAGCCAGTCAGGAGACAGGTAACTGGTGATTAGTGTCAGGTGTACTGGTTGAAATCTGAACCTGAAACATGGAATTTAAGAGCACCCCTAATTTGATAGATGAAGACCTCGAGTTCCAGGGTGGTGGGGCAGCACAGGAAGATAAACTCATACTTGGTTATGGTTTGAGGTAGGAAGTCATTTCTTTGAAAGCTTACAGAAGGATCTGCACCTCCCTTGGCCGTTTCAGCAAGAGGGCCCAGCCTGGGATTGCTGTTCACAGAGCTGTGCGTGAACTGGGGCCCAGAAGAGAACTGGGAGAATGAAAGGAGGAAGAGGGGGCTGCCAGGCATCTCAGTTCCATGTCAGAATCACCAAGATGGGTTGGAGGGCCCCTGAGCTGAACTTTGTTAGCAAGAAGCCAGGGAGAGACCACACATTTGTCCATGTAAGGCTGCCCGGACCCGCTAAAGCAAGTATATGTCCCTTTGGATAAGTTGTCATTGCTTAATTGACGTGATCCTAATTAAATAGTAGCCCGTTTAGTTCATGTTAATCAGAAGCTCTCATTGGCAATTATATCATTGCAGAAATGGCAAGGAAATTAATGTCCCAGTTTCAGAATTCCAGTCCTCCAAACTACCAGTGGACTCTGCTGGGTCGCTGAGGTTGTGGGGGGAAGGGGTGGAGACGTTTTCACCGCCCTTGAAGAGTATTGCATTCTGGTTGAATTGCCTTTTCTCCCCCATCCTTTTCTCCATGATGTGACATCCTGGCTGAAGTGGGGGAGGTTCTGACCTTTCTGTTACATTTTCTCAGACTTCCTGTCTTTCTCATAGATCAGAGAGTATTGTCCGAGAGATGGAACTCTTGGGAAAGATTACTGCCCTGGACTTAAACCCAGAGAGAACCGAACTCCTCAGCTGCTCCCGTGATGACCTGCTAAAAATTATTGACTTACGAATAAACGCGGTCAGACAGACATTCAGGTAACTGAAGACACTGGTGTGGGTTTCGTTTCAGTCTTGCTGGTTTTCTGAGGATTGCGTGGAGACCAGAGGCCCTGACCTGCCCTCACGTCCCGAGTCGTGTGGGCTCTTGGGGGTGACGGTGTCCTGTTGTTTGTTTCAGTGCTCCTGGCTTCAAGTGCGGTTCTGATTGGACGAGAGTTGTGTTCAGGTTAGTAGTGATGCTCCTCCCGTCCCACTCCTCCCACTCCCCCCCACCCGCACGCACACACAGTATGGTTCATCTCAAAGGTTAGTGCACAGGCTTCTTCCCTTTGGGGAAGCGAGATGTTTGTACAGCGTCTCAACCCGAATAAGTGTCTGGGAGAGAACCTGCAAGTTCAGTCCTAGAGGTCACTGTCACTGTCTCCTTCTTTTCTAGGGTCCCTTTCATGATTATATGAAAATGTGTGTCGTACCAAAAAAATGAGTTGTTAGTTGGTTTGTCCTGGGTCCATCAGGTTCACCTCCCTTTACTCTTTATGTAGATGGGTGTTTGAGAGCTTTTAGGGAAGGAAGGGCGGGGGAGCCCCCTGGAGAAGGGCGCCTCCCTTTCCTAGGTCTCCCTCCCTCCCCGCAGGGCGGTCCTCCCAGACACGTCGCCGTGGCCAGCTCCACTGTTGTGGAGATGGTTCTCCACGGTCCGTGCTTCCTCCCTTTCCTGCTTTTCACTGAACCATATACATACCAGGCAGTCCACCACCTGAAAGGAACCCTTCCCCATTTGGGGTTGACGTTGACTTCCTTGCGTACTGTGTTTGAGTCTGCGAGGTGGTTAGGGACTTGCGGCCCCAAGAAGTAATGTGGTAGCACCATTTTTTATTAGCTGGTGAGGCCGCGATGACGGGGTGAAGCAGCTTTGGCCGTAACAGTTGTGACTAGCATCTTTTGGTTTC